AAGTGTGGGTGTCAGTCGCGGCCCGATTTGGGTCGTGACATTTCAAATGTCACATTTATTGATATTCAATTTGAAAAGTTGTAAAAATGTTTTTTTCCTTAAATCATAGCTGTAAAATTAAAGTAACTAATAAAGAATAAGCAAAACTAACAATTGAAATAATTATTAATCAATATATATGGGGGCAACTTTCACATATAGCAAACAAAAAATTCATATTTGTATGCTATAGCAAATTTTGCATAATTGCGCTCCATAGCAAACATAAAACTGTATAATTTGTTATACATATACAATTATATAATTCGCTGGCCTAAATTGTATAACTACCACATCTCATTCTAAATTTAACTTTTTAATTCAATATTTAAAATTGAATATATAGATATTTATTAATTTGAATATCATTATCTATTGTTATAGTAACTCCTTTATATTTATATCAAAATAGAAATTGTTAAGAAACTCAAATAAGATGAGATTAGATATCAAATTCAAAAAGATAAAATATGCACCAACATTAGGCAATCAAGTAAGACTCTAGTAATAAATCTTCTTTCTAACCTTTTATCCTTTTTTCAATCAGAATACTTTTCTTCATGACAACAACCAAAATTAGGCAATCAATTAAGACTCTAGCAATAAAGCTTCTTTCTAACCTTTATTCTTTTATCAATCAGAATACTTTTCTTCATGACAACAATTTTCTTCATATATGATAGATCATGTATGATAGAGTTTGAACCTGGACTTTCACTTTTTGGTGTTAAAGTTGTACGAAATTTTGTATTTGTAAATATTTAAGGAATTTAGTGTTCATTTTATCAATACAGTCATATTTATTATGGACACTCAATTTTGATCAATTTTTAATCATTTTTAGGAATGTTATTCGATTAAATATGTGTTTTAAAAAATTATTTTAAGTTTTGATTTTTAGTCAATTTTGTATAAGAATTATATATTTTAGTATGTTTACTTTATAAAACTATTGTAAATATTTTTAAAATTGTTAATAAATTTTGAAATAATTGTTTTATTAAATGTTTTGAAATTTAAGTCGTTTTAATTATATAAAATTTTTAATGTTTATAGTATTTTAATTAGATAGTAAATTCTTTAATTTTCCTCAAAATTATTTAAATTCTAGCCCATTCTATTTTAATTCCTTTCTATTCTAGCCTATCAAGTTCCAATTGTATTTCAATTATAGCTGCCCTCTTCTTTCAATTCTAGCCAATTTATTACAATTTTAGTCATTCCATATTTAATCTAATTTAATTTTAAGACTTCATTTTTTAATCTCATCCGTCCGTTTAAAAATTAAATTCTGATCATATCTTGACCTTCATCTCTATTTAATCATACGAGCAAGATCTAACCTCCTATTCTTCCTATATCTAATACACTAAGGGGTCGTTTGGTAGAGGGTATTAGGAAAAATAATACATGCATTACGTGTGTGTATTAGTAATACATTGTTTGTTACATTATTTTTGTCATGTATAACTAATGCAAGCATTAGTTATACACAATATTGTATATTAAGTTGTGTATTACTAATACCTAGAAATTTTAGGTATTAGTAATACATAGCATTTTTACACTTGCATTGGATTATGCAATTACAAAAATACCCTCAAAGCCCTTTAAAAAAAATATTTTCCATAGTACTTGTTTCATCTTCTCTCTCATCTTCTTTGTACTTTGTCAATGAAAATTCAAGAGTAGATTTTTCTTCCTTTTGCTCAATCAAACATTTTTTGCTCATCTTCATAAGGTTAGTACTCTTATCTTTCATTAAAATCTGTATTTTTCAACATCTCTTTCTTCATTTTTATTTTCTCTCTCTTTGCTCATAGTTTTGAGCTTTAGTAGGGGCGATCCAAGCTTTAACATTCTAGAATAATCTGAATTATCAATTTTTTTGAATCTATATCAGTTTCTTTATTGATTTAATCATTTTTGTTGTTGGATTTTGATTAATTTAATTTAATTTTTGTTGATAAAGGTCAGCTGATGTTGGTGAATTTGTGTTGTTTTTCTGCGATCTCGATTGGTGAAGTTGAGAAAATTTGGAACATTGGTGAATGGGTGGGGAATTTGTGTGAAGTTTTGTAGAGGTTTTTGGGTGTGTGAAAAGTGAAAAATCTATGAATTTTTAGTTTTTTTTTGTTGGATTGGAGTATTTTTTGTTGGATTGGAGTATCTGCACTTATCCCCCCTCTCAGACGAGTTGATTAGCTCGTACGTGTGTCTTAAGATTATGTGTTATGCGAAAATACAGCTTCTTGGATGAAAACTAAGGATCCCTACCTTTGCATATGAATAAGTTGAACTTTTGGACTTGTGGTGGCAAAATTGTGAAGATGTTTGACATCTTCTTCTTCTTTTTCTTTTTTAATCTTATTTCAATGTAGTAACAACTTTTTAATTTTATATTTGAAAAAGAAGAAGAATAGGAAGAAATAATGTTTTAGCAAAGAAATCTTTTTTTTGATGTTTTAGCAAAGAACCTTGTTGCAAAGAAGTATATAAAGAAATAAAGTGTAAAGGGTATTTTTATAAACATACACTTTTTAAATAGAAATTATGCAAGATTTGTTTTTTCTAATACATCAAACCAAACAGTATATAAGAAATAATGCAGACATAACTAATGCAAGTATTACTAATGCAAGCACTAGTAATGCAAGTATTACTAATACACCCTATTTTGCATTGTTCTTATACGCTCTACCAAACGACCCTAAAAGACCAAAACTTAAAATTTTCACTCTCTCCCCCTCTCTTCAGCCGCCTTCCCCCTCTCTCTTTCCATTTTTTCCAGTGACCCTCCTCTCTCTCCTCGCCATCCTCCGACAAAGCAGCAGCCCGGCGACACCCCTCACTCCCGTCACTCTTCTTCTTTCCCCCTCTCTCCGCCTCCCTCTTCCCTTCTCCATCTCGCCCCATCTCCTCTTTTCCTCTTTTATTTCTCCAAGCACTAGCAGCAAGAACTAGCCAGGCGAGGCAGCCGGCAGAAGCAGCAAGCGAAAGCTCGCTGCTCTCTCTCTCCTCCACTCGACTACTCTGACCAGCAAGCAAGGCAGAAGTCTGGCAAAACAGTGGCCAAGCGAACGAGAATAAGCATCGAACAATAATATCTCCGATTAAAAAAGTTTCAATCTATTCGAAGATGTATCTTTTCAGATTCGTCTGGGGTATGTTCTCTTTATTCAATTTTATCTTTATTTTTGTTATTATTTGATTTTTACTGTTTGTGCTACTGTTTTGGTGATTTTTAAATTTCATGCATTTTTTCAGTTCTATCAGTTTCAGTGAAATGTTGTCATGGCCATGCTTTTATTTGATTTGTGTGCAACTGGTATCGAATTAATAGTTATGGATCATTTACTTTGATCTGTTAACTTTCGTCTCAATATGGCAGAAGTAAAAAGACTTGGATGTAAGTATTGCTTTTCTTTTACATAATTATTTCTTTTGATTGATTGTAAAATATTTGATTGAATATAGGTTCTTTTTTTTATTTTTTTTCCTCAATTATGGTAGATTGAATTTGCTTGTCTTAGTTAAAAAAAACTTGACTGATTTTTTACTTGCTTATTTTAAGAAATAAAAATTTTAATTTGATTCTTCTTTATTTAAGGAAAATATTACTCTTTCTATTTTATCCTTATTTGTGTATATTTGGGGATAAATTATTATTTTTTAAAATCTAATTTGGTTATCATGTAAAATAAGGAAATACAGTAATATTATAATTAATTCATTAATTTATTTATTTTCCTTATGTATTCCTCTTGCTATATAAAGAGACACTCATTCACTCATTTTTAAACATTGATATTTACTCTCGACTCTGTCATTCTCGCACTGCTTTCTCTTGAAATACTTTAAATTTTAGTTTTTATTTTTGAAAATAAGTAAAAACTTTGGTAAAGTTTTATGTCATTCTTTGTGGTATTGTTGTATTGTGTTTGTGGATTGAAAACCTCACTAGATACTTCATTGCGTATATTCTGCATAATTGGTTAGTCTTGTTCATTAATTTCAATTTCATTTTGCATTATTATATTGATGATGGAAATAAATAAAAGGATGCGTTCAGGTTAGTCTCTTATCCTTCATTCTATTGTGTGAGTTTATTTGACTAGTGTGAAGTTGTGGTTGTTGTGAATAGTTTTGTGCCCTTATCTATCTGTTATGATCTCGTGTTAGGTGTTATTTTGTTAAGCGTGTTGAACTTGAAGTTCAAGTTGAAGAGTTCTCACGAATCAAGTTTATTTAATTTCTATATTTTTTTAAATTTGTACCCTTTACCTATTTTGGCTTGTAATATTTGTATAGCTCTAACTCTTTATATATATATATATATGAAATATATTTTGGGGATCGTCTAAGGGGGAAGGAGATCTACTACTTGTTACTTTGTCATTAAATCTTACAAAGCATGTCCATAAGATTATGATTCGTTTTGATAACCAGTATTTGATAAATCAAGTTAGATATAAATTAATAATAATAATAAAAAAAATTCATTGCTTGATCTTGTATAAATGTTAATTAATATTGTCTAATTAGTATTTGAAACTAATCTCGTATAAATGTTAATTAATTATCGTTCCGCATATACCCTTTAGGACTAATGAATAAAATTAACCTCTTGCCATTAATTTGTTTTGAATATAACTTTTACATCTAGAATTTATGCCTATAGGATTGAACTAAATATTTGCATAATATGTCCGTAAATGTTCATCAATTTGATTTATCATTATAAGTCATGTCCATAGAATTTAACTAATAAAATCAAGGTTATTTAATCAACCTAAATAAATTTTCAGCATGTTAATAACAAATTAAGTCTGCTATGGATATTCTCTACATAAAATGAATAATTTCTTCTTAAAATAAATTATTTCTTCACCTGTATGTTAACTGAGGCGTTTAATTTTCTCACTTAAAATAAAGTTGCTAAATCATTTTCCTGCATATAATTTTGCCCCCCCCCCCCCCCGTTAAAATCAGATGAATTATAAAATAAGAATCTGATAATGATTTTCTGTCACTATTTAAACAATTTAAATAACGATTTGCATGCCAAATAATGATTTTGCTGCATCTTTTAAATTGGCGACCCTTAGATAAAATTTTGTATTAAATCTGTTACTATTTCAAAAATAATTTTCTGCATTATTAATAAATTTGTCACATATTTGAAATAATTTTCTGCATTAGTAATAAATATGTTATTGTCTTAAAATTAATTTTCTGTCTTAAATAAATAAAAATCTGTTGTTCTAAATAATATTTTCTGCATTATTAAATTCGCTATCCGTTTTAAAATAGATATGCATATGTGATCACTTCTTTTCTATATTTAGAAATCAAAAAAATAAAAACATGTTATTAACTTTTGCTTCTCTTAAATTCAGTTAATTTAGAATAAGTTTACTTAACTTTTTTTCTCACTTCTAAAAGTCAATTAGATAATTATCTGCATGATTTTAGGAGTGTCCATTAATAATTCTGCCAGCTTAATTCCTTGTTGTCTTAATGTCAAAAATCGTTTGTATTCTCATACACATCGCATGAAATCCTTTCATAATTATAGGTTATTTGCAAACATGTTTAGATAGAGACCAAATTGAAACTTATCCTACTAAATGACCGTCTTGTTTGTTTTGTTTGTTTGACTTGGTGTCTAGGAAGGGCTTATATTTTATTTTTGTCTAGAACCACCCTATTAAGAATCTAATGTCTCTTGGACAATGAGTTGGGATGATTAGACACCTTTTAGGTACGAAATGCATGCGCTAGTGGGGTAGTGGTAGTTAGCCACATGGATATGATGGCATCGACTCGGTCTAAATGACAAACATTGGTTTTGACAAATATGGGGACCAAGTAAGGTTTTCCTATAAATAAAGAATTTTCCTTCATTATAAATAAAATTTGTGAAATATCAATGAATCCTGAATATACTTCAAGATGAATAAGAAATCTTTCTCTTCTCTCTACTTTCTTCTTCTTCTAAATTTATATAGTTTCATAACACGTTATCAGCACGATTGTTCTATTCTTAAAAAATGATGAAGAAGACGGGAAAAGTGCAAAAGATATATTGCATAAGTTATGCAATAAGGTTCTTATATCTTCAAAATATGATTTATCTTTATGTTATAATTATTTATGTAACAGATCCGGAGGTACCATCTAAAGTAAGTATTTAAAGAGACTTGTCGATTTTCTATACATTTAATTTTAATCGATTTGAAAGAGAATTCCTTAATTTATTTTAATAATTAAATAAGCACAATTTAGTGAAGGTATGTTTTCAACCTTTATATGAGGTATGTGATCTATTAAGCTATATTTATTAACTACTAATGTTGATTATAATAAATCAATAACCTCAATTTTGTGTGTAATTATGATGTACGATCATATTAATTATCATCAAAAGTGATAAAATTACAATTATTTTGAAGGCTTGAGGTTGAGCCTTATTATGGGTAAGACAATAGATTTAAGTTTTATCGCACCAAAAGAATAAGACCATGGATTTATGTCCAATCGCAAAAAGAGGGTCAGACATTGGGTTAAAGTGCTGAAGCATTATGATGATAAGATATTGAGTTCAAGATCCATCGATTTATAACCTAAGTCACTTTTATATGGATAAGACATTAAATGTGAGTCTCAATGCACCATATTGATGATATAATAATGACTAAAGAAAAACTAATGTGTTTTTGATGAGAGGTCATGAAATTTATTGAATTTGCTCCATTACGTAAAATGAATGTGGTTGTAGTCATAATATATCTGAAAGAAGACAAGTGATTGAATAATGCATATAAATATGGAAATTAGTACTAAAGCTATCATTATTTGATATGCTCACATATTTGTGTTTCATTCATGAAGAATGAGAACTTTTGATAAATGCTAAATATAGATCCATTCTCTAAAGAGAATGATGTGTAAGCCACCATGCTAGGCATGAGAAAAATTGTGACCTTTGGTTAACGAATTGGTATCATCAAGAATGTCTCTAAGAAGACATGTATTATAGAAACGTTTCATGCTTTATGTTTATGTATTGGACAAGAATTAGTTCAATTGAGGAACATTCTATAATAAATAAGAAAATTCTAATTTCAATACTTTCTTAATTTGGCATGATTGTCTGAGACATCATTAGTCTATAATGTTTAGACGAATTATGAAAAATTAAAATAGACATCCGTTGAAGAACCTAAAAATTCTTTTAAATGGTGATTTTTCTTGTAATGATTGTTAGCAAGAAAAGCTAATTATGAGACCATCATAAACGAAACTTGAGATTGAATTCTCTGCGTTCTAGGAACGTATACAGATATTTGTGGACCTAGTCATCCACTTAGTGGATTGTTTAGATATTTGATGGTCCTAATAAATGTTTCTTCTATATGGTTTTCATGTGTGCCTATTATTATCTCGCAACTTGATGTTTGCAAAAATGTGTGCACAAATAATATGTTACATGCACAATTTTCTTCAAATTAGTTCATTCAATGATGGGATCACGACTCACCTAAAGGGTGAAGTAATTGAGAAGAAATAAATCTGAAAATTACTCCCGGAGTATTAAAATTGAAATTTACTCATATAATAGTAAATCAGAAATTTACTAAAGCAAAAGACACATGACGTAGTAAACTTAGAGTTTACGAGTACTCATAATTTTATTAATTGGCATGAATAATTTGGTCATCCCAAAGATGTGCATACTGAGTAATGGACATACATTGAAAAACTAGAAGATTCTTCAAGAATTCTTTACGTTGCTTCTTCTCGTGATAAAGTTGATTGGATCAACTAAAGTTGGGACTAAATCCCTAAATTCTGAAAAGTATAAAAGGTGAATATGGGCTCGTTACCTATCATGTGACATGACAAAAAGATGCATCTATAAGATAATCACATGTGCATTTGTTGTCAACTAGTAGTTTGACATTCACAAAATTGTTTGTGCAAAAAAAATTGAGTTAAGAGCACAATTTCAGAATATGTAATCAAGACAATTCATCTTTATAATATTGATAAATACTCAAGATGATGTGACACTAAATGTCTCAAATAGTAAAATCATTGTTTATGAAAATAAAGCTTCATATGTTGATATGAAATATGATATTGCATACAAAAGTAATTGTACGCATCAGACCGATAAATTATGATCAAATTTTCTTTCAATTGATTTATGGTCGGGGACCAAATATTTTTCATCTAATTATTTTGATATGGTATATAATCAATGAATATACATTGATGCACAAGGATAGATTCTCCAAAGATTGAAATATATTTTAGTTTATCTAACATAAGGGGGAGATTAGAAGCAACACAAGAGTATGATAGACTAATCAATTCTAAATAAAATAGTTTTTGAAAAAGGGAGAGGATTAAAGAATCAAAATGATCATAATAAGGAGACAATGTTCTCTTGGAGAGCCTATGACATAACACTCACTTTATGAAAACCTCATGAGAGGGGTAGCTATCTAAAAAAAATTAATGATGAGATCTCAGTAAGTTTTGTCATATTGTGAATCGATACAAAATGATATATCGTTGACGATATCTTTGATACAATGGCGCGCAATATTGTAAAAGATTATGAGGATATGAATTCTACATCTATTAAAGCATGCTTGTGTAGAAATAATTATCAAGTGAAAAGTGGAATGATGCATCTTGGTAAGCGTAAAGTTTATTTGACTTACAATCTAGGCACTAGATTATGTCATACATCTAATATTGAGTGGTGTTACTTGACAAAATTGACATGAAAATATCCAATGGGTTCAAAATCTAAAGCATATACAAGTTTTTGGAAAACTTGTTTATCATCCTCATAAGGATTAAATAGATTCAAAATGCATAGAGCATATACAAGTATTATTATGCAACTTGATGACTAGAATTGAAACTCTTGGCAATAGATTATTTGCTTAAAGAAGTTGAAGTAAGGAACTTGCATAAATCTTTGACCCTGAAGGAAAAATTTATAAAAGCAGATAGAAGAAAGCATATTTCGTCAAGGTTTTTCTACACTCATAAGCTCCCAAGAATGGTGATATCAACATGCAAGAGGTCTGTTCAAGTAATATTATTGTTGATTTATTCACCAAGTCTCTACCAACTACAACTTTCAAGAAGATGGTGCACAAGTTTGGAAAACGAAGATTCTAGTCTCTGAATTGATGTTCTCATAAGGGGGAGTTAATACGCAATGTACTCTTTTTCCCTCACAAGGTTTTGTCCCACTTGATTTCCTTGTAAGGTTTTTAATGAGACATCCATAATGCGTATTATTAGATATGTGTACTCTTTTTCCTTCACAAGATTTTTTTTCACTGGGTTTTATCTAGTAAGGTTTTAACGATGCACATAATCTAACGACATTCAAGGGGAAGTGTTATAAACAATTTGTATTATAATGAATGTCTAATTATGTGGAGTCCTTGTACGATATGATTATGAATCCTACTTGGGGACCAAGTAAGGTTTTCCTATAAATAAATGATTTTCCTTCATTGTAAATAAGATTTGTGAAAGATCAATGAATCCTAAATATACTTCAAGATGAATAAGAAATCTTTCTCTTCTCCCTACTTTCTTCTTCTTCTAAATTTATATAGTTTCATAACAAAATTACATATTTAAAGTGACTATTCTTTTTTTTTTCTAAAAAAGAAAATTTTTAATTCGGATAAAAATAGTAAGTTGCCAATAAAAAATGTTTTTAGATGTTATGTTATATTAGAAAATTAATTACAAATAATAATGACTTAATGAATCATACAATAGAAATAATACTAAATAATCAAAAAGTGAAATAGAGAGGTGAGTAGTAGTTCTTCAAAATCTCACCTTTTAATAAATCAAAACAATAATAAATATATACGGATCATAATAGTTATATCAAGATTATTAGAGAATATGTTTTTGTCAGTCAGTCTAAGATAACTATCTCTAATCGGTGTCGTTCAATGCATACAAAATGTACATGCACAAGAAGAGTGGAGTAATCTTAAGAAAATAACAGATTTAAGAAAATTACAGATTTATCCTTGTTGGTCCTTCCCAACTCCTGAAATTACAAATTTGTCCTTGTTGGTCCTTCCCAACTCCCATTTACATGGACATGTGCCTTTGTGATATGAGTGGAGTAAGATCGGAAAAATTACAGATTTAAGAAAATTATATATTTATCCTTGTTGGTCCTTCCCAACTCCTAAAATTAAAAATTTGTCCGTGTTGGTCCTTTCCAACTCCCATTTCTATATAAAGAGTAAGCTTAGGAAAATTACAAATTTATCCTTGTTAGTCCTTTCCAACTCCTAAACTTATAAATTTGTCCTTGTTGGTCCTTCCCAACTCCCATTTCTATATAAGGAGAGTAAGCTTAGAAAAATTACAGATTTATAAAGATTATAGATTTATCTTTGTTGGTCCTTCCCAACTCCTAAAATTACAAATTTGTCCTTGTTGGTCCTTCCCAACTCCCATTTCTATATAATATATATATAGAATAAGCTTTACAAATTTAAGAAAATTACAGATTTATCCTTGTTAGTCCTTCCCAACTCCTAAAATTACAAATTTATCCTTGTTGGTCCTTCCAATCACCCACTTCAATATAAGGATATATATGATATAGATTGGTATTGATATTATTACTATTATTATTGTTATTATTAATAAACAATTTGCCTTTTTTTGGTTATTAATAAGGAATAGAAGTGAAAAGTTAATTTAAATATTTTGTATAAGAAATTTGATGTATTTAAAATATTCAATTTTTTATTTTCTAAAAAATATCAAATTAAATAACTGTAACCAACTAAATAATAGATAGATACTTTTATTTTCAAATTTTAAAAATAATAGGGATTTATTTCTATTTTATATTTTAAATATATAGGCAGTTACTTTTATTTTAAATTAAAAATAATTTCAATACATAATAAATTTTGATTTTTGTGGTGCTGATACGTAGGCGCTATCACCTTTCATATATATATATATATATATATATATATATATATGTATATATGTATGTATGTATGTATTATTGTTATTATTATTAAAAAATTTAACTTTTATTTTGGTTATAAAGAAGAAATAGAAGTGAAAAGTTAATTTAAATATTTTGTATAATAGGTTTGACGTACTTAAAAAAAATCAGTTTTTTTATTTTATAAAATAATCAAATTTAAAAATTGTAACAAACTAAATAATAGGGAGTGTTTTAATTTTTAAAATTTAAAAGTAATAGGGAGTTATTTCTATTTTTTAAATTTTAAAAATAATAGGCTGTTACTCGTATTTTAAATTTTAAAAATAAATTTAATAATTAATAAATTTTGATTTTTATCGTGTTGACACGTAGATATTTTCACTTCTCATATTATATATAGATAGATTATTACTGTTATTATTATTAAAAAATTTGCCCTTTTTTTGGTTATTAATAAGGAATATAAGTGAAAAGTTAATTTAAATATTTTGTATAAGAAATTTGATGTACTTAAAATATTCAGTTTTTTTATTTTATAAAAAATATCAAATTAAATAACTGTAACCAACTAAATAATAGGGAGATACTTTTATTTTCAAATTTTAAAAATAATAGGGATTTATTTCTATTTTTATATTTTAAATATATAGGCAGTTACTGTAATTTTTTTTATTATATATATATATATATATATTTATTTATTTATTTATTATATTAATATTATTATTATTATTGTTATTAAACAATTTAACTTTTATTTTGGTTATAAAGAAGAAATAGAAGTGAAAAGTTAATTTCAATATTTTGTGTAATAGGTTTGACGTACTTAAAAAAAATCAATTTTTTTATTTTATAAAAAAGATCAAATTTAAAAATTGTAACAAACTAAATAATAGGGAGTGTTTTAATTTTTAATTTTTAAAAGTAATAGGGAGTTATTTCTATTTTTAAATTTTAAAAATAATAGACAGTTACTCTTATTTTAAATTTAAAATATAAATTTAATAATTAATAAACTCTGATTTTTATTGCTGACACGTAGACATTTTCACTTCAAATATTATATATAAATAGATTTTCGCTTTATCAATATTTGATCCTTATTGATTCAACTTATGATTTACAATCAATAAGAAATACTCATAGAGCAAACATACAATTTTTCCTATAATTTGGCGGACAGGATAATAATGTAACTATACATAATGCTCATAAATAATAATAAAAAAACATAGGATTAATGTGACCACAATTTGTGCTTAAAAAGTTTAGGGAGGGTTGCACATTACTTTGTTCCATTCAGTTTTCTATATTTTCAATTGGATTTATCGGTATAAATACAATCAAATATTAATCAAACTAATAAGATACTTTTTTAATTAATTTTCGCTTTATCAATATTTGATCCTTACCAATTTGACTAATGATTTACAATTAATAAGAAAATACGCATAAAATAAATATATAATTTTCTCTATAATTTGACGCAACAACACAATAATATAATTTTACATAATGTTCATAATAAAAAATAGTACTAGTATATAGTGCTAACACAAATAAAAAAATGAACTTAATGTTATTGATTCGATGAATAATTCAAAATTAAAAAATTAAAAGCAAATAGATATTTTGGATAGATTTTTTTGAAACAATTATTAATAATTTGTTAACCCAATAACCTTACAACAATAAATAAATAACTTTTTCTCGACCTAATTAATTGATTGGTTCTATCTTTTTCATCCCTGAATTCATGATTATTCTTTTAAAATTATTGTTCACATTCCATATTATTTTATTTCAGGAAAAAAAGAGAGAAAAGAATTGCATGATATTCCAAAATTGTCCATGGTGAAGAGGTAAAATTACAAGAAAAAGAATATTCTCTTGTACCAAAGCACTACATATATAGAGGCCACCACTCCGAAACCCTAAACCTCTTTAATCGCATTGTATCGTATCGTTTTGCCTCTCCGCCGAAACACAACACAGTTGGTGAAGGGTGAAACAAGTTTCAACTGTTGTGTGGCCATGGCTCTGGTAAGTTGCTTAGGTCTTATTTTTTTTGTTATCGTACATCAAAAGATAGATCTGAGATTTCAATATGATGATAAATTGTTGGTTCCTGAATCTAATTTTATGTTTGTAGATTTTTAGATTTTTGTTGATCTACTACTGTGCTTTATTTTGACAAGTTCATCTGCTTCTATTGTATTGTCGTTGAGATCTACGGTGAGTTGCTGAATATTCCATATGCGTGTACCTATTGGTCTTCTCTGAAACTCACAGTCTGATGAAAACTGTTTGGAAGTAGGAAAGAAATAGAGTTGGATGGGAGTAAACATCATTTTTTATGTTATTATAACGGAGAATTGAGGTTGTGTAAGCTGATTAGAGAAAACTCTGTTCCAATAGATAATTAAAGAATGCTACTTTACGCTTTAAACTGTGTTCATTACCCAATTTTATACGTGGATTTAACTGTCTTCATTATGTTTGTTGCAGATTTTGCATTCAACAGACAACAACAAAAATGCCTCAAAGGCACTCATTGCAGCTGAGTACACAGGTGTTAAGGTTGATCTTGCAAAGGACTTCCAGATGGGTGTATCCAACAAGACACCTGAGTTTCTTGAGATGAATCCCATTGGAAAGGTATGTTATTCTTCTCAATAGTATAGATTGATTTTTTTCATTTACTTGACAAGATTTTGCTAATCTAGGTGTCATTTTATCTTATAGGTTCCTGTGCTTCAAACACCTGATGGACCTGTTTTTGAGAGCAATGCCATTGCGCGTTATGGTCAGTCCATGTCTTGTTTTTTTTTGACTTCTGATCTTGTAACAAGAAATAGTTCTGACATTGACCTTTACTAATTCACTTAGTTACCAAAACAAAGCCCAACAATCCTCTTTTTGGCTCTTCATTGATTGAATATGTAAGTATTTCAAGATGATTTGGTTTCTTAGTTTTCATTCATTTAGTAGTTACATTTTCATTTGTGAAATTCTTATTTTTCTATTTATGTCTATGTTCTCTTTGATAGGCTCAAATTGAACAATGGAATGATTTTTCTGCCACTGAAATTGATGCAAACATTGCACGATGGCTGTACCCACGCCTTGGCTATGCTGTTTACATCTCTCAAGTATGTATCCTACTATGTATGATTAATTATTTTCCTGAGCCATTTTACTCAACTGAATTTCTCATTTTGCATAAAGGCTGAGGAAGGTGCAGTAGCTGCATTAAAGAGAGCGCTTGGTGCTTTGAACACCCATCTTGCATCTAACACATACTTGGTTGGACATTTTATCACACTGGCTGACATCATCATGGTCTGTAACTTGAGCATTGGTTTTAGGATGATATTGACCAAGAGCTTTACCAAGGAATTTCCACATGTAGAGAGATATTTCTGGACTGTTGTTAATCAGCCTAATTTCGTCAAGATATTGGGTGAGGTGAAACAAGCTGAATCTATCCCTGCTGTGCAATCCAAGCCTGCACAACCTGAAAAACTCAAGGCTAAGGAGGAGCCAAAGAAGGAGGTTAAGAAGGAAGAACCAAGTCCTGTAGAGGAGGAAGCAGCACCCAAGCCTAAGGCAAAGAATCCTCTTGATTTATTGCCTCCAAGTAAGATGATTCTGGATGATTGGAAGAGGCTTTACTCCAACACCAAGACTAACTTCCGTGAGGTTGCTGTTAAAGGTATTAGTTTTTTCTGTTGTGTTACCTATCTTTCTTATTTTAATTTGAGAAATTTCTTAGCATACTTTGACGTCAGGAGTCATTAAAAGATCCTTATTTGAGGCATGTTTAGTTTCATTTTTTAAAAATCTCTTTTAACATGCAATCTGTTTGATGGAAGGGATCTAAAAGGGATCCAGAGATCTGCTCTTCCTCTAGAAAGAATCACTAGTCTGCATAGAAAATTTTATGTTCCAACTGTGTTTGTTTTGCATAAGATATGTGGGGGAGAGGGGAGTTCTGTATATATATATGGCTTCTGCATTGCCCTTCTACTCAGAATTGTAATACTGATGTTATCCTTATCTAATTCTTTTGGGGAGGGGAAAGAGGTGTGTTTATAAAACCCATTTATTTAGGCTGGAATTTTCTATTTTAGTGAAACACTTGAGCTGGTTCCTTGTCAGAATCTTACCTTGTAGCATTCTGCTTGTTCTGCAGGTTTCTGGGACATGTATGACCCCGAAGGATATTCTCTCTGGTTTTGTGATTACAAGTACAATGATGAGAACACAGTTTCGTTTGTAACCTTGAACAAGGTTGGTGGTTTTCTGCAGAGGATGGAGCTGGTACGCAAGTATGCTTTTGGTAAGATGTTGATTGTTGGTTCTGAGGCCCCATTCAAGGTGCAGGGCTTGTGGCTTTTCCGTGGGAAGGAAATTCCCAAGTTTGTTATGGAGGAAGTGTATGACATGGAACTCTATGAATGGAAGGAAGTAGACATCAATGATGAGGCCCAGAAGGAGCGAGTTAGCCAAATGATTGAAGATCACGAGCCTTTTGAGGGACAGGCTTTGTTGGACGCCAAGTGCTTCAAGTAAAAAACAACACTGTATTGGAGATTGAGCAATGTTACCTTTTGACTGAGGCTGTAGTTTACTCTGGTTTTGTCCTCCCAAATTTACTTAGATTCTTGTTTTAAACACTATCTTGTCTTAAGAGAAACTATTATCTTTGCAGTGTTTTTTTTCTTCAAGTTATTGATTTCATATGGTTCATGGGATATCTGTGGTTGAAATTTGTTATCCTTTTCAACTAAAGCAGTTTTGACAGTCAGGTGAAATCACCCTTTATAGCATTTGTAAGTTCTATGTAGGCTGATAAGCTTTTGCTTGATTTTTGTTGAAGTAGTATCTTGTTTGCTATTTGAAGATTTACCATAACAAGTACTGCTGAAGTTTTATAAAATGTTGAGCAGTCTCTTGGTCTAATGAAAAGTTGACATGATGTGTTTGGGGTGCAGGTCCAAAGTGCACAAAATATTAAACTTTGTTATTACTTAAAGATTTCTTTGAAGTTTTGTGGTTTTGGTCACGCAGAAAAGGTTGAGCTGAGCCTGATAGTCTTGTCACGGAAAGAAGTGGTATTCGTGTTGTGAGTCCGGAATTTATTTTACGATATAGAGATAAAAGTGACAAATAAGCCACAATTTAAGTACTAACTAAAATAGGTTTGTTAACGTCTAAATTTTAATGTAGAATACAACTTTTTCCTACATTTTATATAACATCTAACCTTCTCTTACCTTATATAAGAAGAATTAACTCTACCAAAAACTTTTCATTTTCTTCCTTGAACAATTTTCTAATCCTTCACTCGTCCCAACCCGACAATCTGATTGACCTCACATTAAATAAAAAATTGAATTCTCATTTCCCTTATTTATAAGGACAGTTGAGAGGACGAACACAACATTGAACAATTGTACTTAAAGTAATGAAAATTGTACTATACATTTGGACTCACTTTATTTCTCTATTTTTTTTTCGCTCAACAACGTACGCATTTGAGGTCACTAGCTTTTTTTTTTTTTTGACAGACACATATTACATCTGTGCTGAGACAACTAATTTCCACATTCATTTTCACTTCTACTAATCCATTTTTTTCAGACTTCTCTTCCCCCACTTCCCTCTCCTACCTCTGTAGATTGCTGCATACCTTTGTGCAGCCATGAAACCCCAGAATCCATGTAAACTAACTGAAACAGCCATTAAACCCCAAAAACCAAGAAGCTTCCATTGAAACGCCACTACAAAAACCCTATATGTGATGTATTTAACAAGTCTTTGTTGTCGGTTGCTCGAGATTTTGGTTAGCTTTTATTTGTTGGGGTTGTCGGTCTCACTTAATTCCTGAACCCTCTGCTCCATGAATATCTTGTCTGTTCCACCAACATTATAAAAAATAACAACATATACATTACTTGCACTTTTCAAACAGGGACTAGGAGTTCAAATCTATTGAGGTACTTGCAGATTGGGTTCTTGCCTTCAACTTTTTCACTTCCTGTACCAGGATGCATGGTATGTGAACGCATATGACATTTATTTTTGTTGAAATGGCGGTAGTGTTATTTTTTGTGTTGTCTTTTCTTTTTCAGGTAAAAGAATATCTCTTTTGTGGTTTATATTTTTTTTCTTGCAGTTTGGAAGAGCTATAACGTACTACATGAAGTTTTATGAAACATATTCACCTGAAAAAATCCATACACTCGAACATTAAATTTTGTTCTCTGGATGTTCTGCTACTAATGTTTATTTTGAACTACAATTTATGTTGGACATTCTATATTATTCTATATACATGTCATATTTATGTATGATTTTCATGCAATATGTCTAAAACAAATGAATAATATTGTTTTCTTGCTTCTTTTCTTTTATCCTTCTCTTCGACATTTCCCCCCTCTTTTTTCAGTTGTATAAACAAGCGTCAATTGTAATGAATGAAGTTGCTTGATGATGAGATTCACAATGTGAGGATTGAAATTTTCATTTCGTAAAAACAACTGTACAATATTTTCTATTTCTAACACACTATGAAAACTTTGTGCGTGAATTAAATATTGTTGATCATGTATCCTAGAAAGATTTAGTATTCTAGAGGGTGGTATAATTCTTAAATACTTATTTTAGAGTGTTCTTACAAATAACTATAAGGTTGAAGCATTGTCTTCAGTTCTCAAGCACCAAACTTTAATGTGATCCTTCAGTTCTTCTTCATAGACGAAGTGGAAGACAAATATATGGATATACCTCTAGAGAATGAAGAAGGTATCACTAAATACAAAAAGGTCCCATGTACCCGTGTCAGATAAATAAGCATGGCATGTCCATTGACAACTTAGGCAAAGATTTGCCTAAAGTATGAAGATGTTATTTGGGTGGATATCACTTTCAATTTGTATTGTCCATGTAACTCTTTATCTGTTCTTTTTTAGTTTCTCATTGTGAGTTGCCCATAACATACATGATTTATTATAAATGCTACACACTTTTATTATAATCACAATTAGAAGTATCGCTCTTTCATCTAAATAGTCACATCTAAATAGTCAGGGGTTAAACAATCTCAAGTGGTCCTTATTCGATGGAGCTCTCTATTTGATTCTTCATAAAGAGTCTCATGGTCTGGATACGGATAGCCAAGATTTGCTGGAGGAATTCGAGGAAGTTGCTACTTGTGGAGAAAATGGAAGTAGCAATTGTATTCGAATATTCAAGCGCAGGGAAGGAAAAAGGCAAGTCTTCTTAACTACCTACAGTTGAGATTTGTTTTTTCCCTCATGATCTTGATTGCTCTTATGTTGTTCCATAATAGAAAATATTTTCCTTTTTTTTTTTTGAGATATTCGATTATTGAAAAAGAACATATTTTTGGGTTCCCGAATGAATGGGAACAATCTCACTTGGTAGTGAGGGAACTAGGGAGAATAAATTAGCAAAGATGGTATGTTGGTTGCGTTCCAGATTTACAAAGAAATTAATATGTACTTTCTGTTAGTTTACTTGAAACGACTATTGCTTTAACCACATGATATTGATTGATCTTAGTAGATACTTTCACAACTATTCGGATTTGATATTTCACCTTAGTATGATTGTGAGAATAAATAGGCTACGATTCCAAAAGCCTCTATGTAGTGTTTGTTATGCTTCGTGAGGTTTGTCATTTAGATAAGTGATTTTTTTCCCCTTGCTATGTGAATTTCATTATCCATTTGCATATGGAATTAGAACAAATTAGCATGTTTATTATTATTACAGAAAACATGTTATTATGTGTTACTATAAGCTCATGTTAAAGCTAATAGTAAGTTTTTCTTATATCAATTTCTCCAGTAGTGCATTTCATTTTATGTGAAAAACAGAGTACACAGAGAGCTAACAAGTTGTAAATAAATAAAAATGATCCTCTGTTAACTGAAGATCATTTTGCATTTTTAGAAATGTTCACAAATATAATATTCTTGGCCAAGAAGATGTACAATGGACATTAGTATAATGGAGGCACTAACAAATTATAATATTAAGTTGTAAAGCAGGGATAGTACACAAAGAACTAGCAAGTTGTGAATAAAAAAATGATCCTCTGTCCCTAAAGTTTCATTTTGCATATTTTAGAAATGTTCACAAATAGAATATTCTTGACGAAGAAGATGTACAATAGACATTGCTAAAATCTAGGCACTAAGAGTTATAATATAAGACGTAAATCAAGGATGTAATTACGTCAACTTAAAAAATAGAAGACATGTAAAGTTGTAATGTAATATCAACAAAACTATATGTTATGGCGCAGTATGGCTGGCAGCGGAACCGGTACTTACCGATATCCGGTCCGGTCCGTCCCGGTCCGGTTCGGTACCGGTTAGTACCGTTGAGGACCGGTAATTTTCAATTTCGGGACAGGTACCGGGACGGAAATCAGTAAATACCGGAAATTATTGGTTCCGAAAATTAGTGGTCCGGTCCGGTTAATTTTTTTTTAAAAAATATATCTCTTAATAGTCGTTGGGTAATGGCTAGTGGGCCCCCCCAACAGCTATTTGAGTTGAATTTTAGCCAATACGAGCCCTACCCCCCCAAACTTTTTTAATACCCTAAAGTTTTAAAAATTACACTTTAACCCATTTTTTTACTTATAAATATCCCTAAATTTCATTCTTTTAAATCACAAAATCATCTATTCATCTTCTACTCTCTCAACTCTCTACACTCTAATCTCTAATTCTATAATATATAATATCTTAAATTCCGGTGTTGCCTTACTTGGTCTTTGGAAATTAGATTTGGAGCTTCAAAATTCAATTTTCAACTTTCCCGGTTCGGCTTTCGGTGGTCATAAACATCTACTTCTTTAAGTAGACATTCGGTACATTCGTTCTAACTTTTATTTTACGTTTTATTTATATTTAAATAATTATTTATTTATTTTATGATTAATTATTTGCATAACTGCATTACATTTTCCGTATTATATTTAATCTCACGTTTAATTTTTTAATATGGACTTCGGCAAAAATATTGTTCAAAAAGGAAAGAGGAAAAAAAGTGCATTAGAGCGTGTAAAATTTTTTTGTAACTTTACATCCTCCGATAATGCAAAAACCGGTAGTTCTTCTAAATCAAAAACTAAAAAATCTACTATATTAAGAATAAATATGGATGATTATACACATGTTGATGATACGGTTTTTAATATTGATAGTAATTCAGGATTAGATCCTTATCATGAACATTTACAACGTCGCTTTGATAATTTTGATGAGGATTTGCCTAGTGATAATGATAATGATAATGATATTGATAATTATACTGATACGCCTACTTTTGTTGTTGATGATGATGAACCTGAGTCACTTATGACTACTAATACTCCCAGTCCCGCTCCCTTTCGTTATCCTGCCCCAGTTCCCCCAATACATCCTAGGCCTAAAGTAGAACGTGTTAAAAAATCGGTTGTTTGGCAATTTATGACACAAAATGAAGATAAAACACAAGCTATTTGTAATAATGTAAACATATATTAAATCATAAAACTGTTGGCAAATCTGGTGGAACGGGACATTTGAGTAGTCATTTAATGTCTTGTTGTAAAAATGAATTTTTGCATGCTAAAGCGGCAGCGAAAGCTAAAAAGAACAGTACCCCCCTTCCTGAAAATGTAGGAGTAGGCGACTCTAAAATGGTACAAACACAATTAAATCCGTCTAATGTTTCTGGCTCTAGTTTACCACCTTCATATAGTAGAGAACAAGATCTTGAAGAACT